ACACACAGACAGACAGACACGAGGTCGTTTGCATAAGCCCGCTGGATAGCTTTTTCAAAGCAGAAGGGCGGGCTAAGAACATCTCCACATTTTTTATTTCTTAAATGTTTATTTTTCTTTTGCTTCTTTCCAGGACAAAACAAACTGCACAAAACAATTAGAACTGTCCAGCACAATGTAGGGATCAATTAGGATCGTGTCTGTTCGTCACGTCCGATACAATACAACTGATCATGACAAACATCTCCAATTCCTTTTATTTGCTTACATCCAAGACAATATAGACTGTGCAGGACAAAGTACGACTCAATTTAGGTTGCCAACCATACCGCCTGGCCGCGGCATTTGTATCGCGTTCGAATGGCTCGTACTGCCGTACCGCCCCCGGGACTTTGGCTAAATTCCCATATTTTTGGGTTTCCCTAGGTAGCAGGAGGGCCGAACCCTTTAACCCACCCTTTCCCGGCCTTCGACTCATCTCCAGCTGGCCCCAGCGTCAACCCAGAGGCACCGCCACCGCCCTTTTCTGTCAATCTCTGTCTATCGAGAGGGCGGCCCCAACATTAATTAAAAAGATGGAAATTATAAAACGCATAAAAATAATGATATTTCTTACACCGCAAGTGAACGAGCAAGGCAAATTGTAAAAGGAAAAAATCCTACAGATTAGCAGAAGACGGTTGAAAATGTATAATAAAGATAATCGACATTCACGTGCGTCGGCGCTGCTTAAGTTTGGTTTTCCCTACTCATTTCCCGAAACCTACACGCAAGGAAACGGAGACACGCGGCTGAGTCCGGGATTTCTATCATTGAGGAAGCATAGTAAATGATTACTTACACCGTCAACACAAGCCGAAGTTTTGATACACATTTAAGTCAGCGTCCAAACAAAAACACGGATCAAAACCCGTTAAAACAAGCAGGCCCGCCCTTCCGCCAAACGGAGTTGCCAGCTCCACTTCGCTGCGCCGGCAACTCCGTTCGGCAGGGGCCGGGCCTGCTTGGCCTGCCGGTGGCGATGGTCGGGCCTTCGGCC